TTGTGCCTGGGTGGAAGGAGGTGTCTCTGGCAGAGGTGCCCAGTGAGGGTGGGGGCAGTGCCGAGCAGTCTTCACTTGTCCTCTTGTGTACTTGTGACTTCTTGGAAACTGCGATGATGTCACGCTTGCGTTTCTCTTTTTAAGTTCTCTGTGTTGACTATTGTTGAAAGGTCAGCTAAAAAGATAACCACAGAGGGTGCCCCTGCACTGGGTCTAGAAACACCGACATGAACCATTTCCAAACCTGCTGAGATGCAAGCCACTTGGGAACATTCTCAATGACGAATAGCTTTTCTACTTTATTCTCAAATCACAAGAAGATTGTCGATTTGTCTATGGGACAGACATATGTTGTAGTTGTTAGGTACCATTGAGTTGGTTCCAACAGCTAGCAGCCCTTTGGACGACAGACTGAGCCAGCGCCCGGTCCTGTGTGAGCCTGGCAGCTGCTCATCTTGTTGTCTGAGCCACTGTTGCAGCCACTGTATCGGGCTACCTGGTCGACGGTCTTCCTCTTTGTGGCTGCCCCTCCACTTTACCAAGCATACTGTCCTTTTGCTGAGATGATCGCTCCTGATAACATGTCCACAGTATCGAGAAGAACTCTTCTCTAAGGAGCACGCTGACTGTTCTTCTTCCGAGAGAGGTGTGTTTGTTCTTTTGGCAGTCCACGGTGCTTTCCTGTTCTTCCCCAGCACCGTTCCTCCAATGCCCCGATTCCTCTTTGATGCCTACGCAACAGGACGTTGAAACGAGTACGCCCACAACCACGGAATGACTTCCAACTCGCAGGGACCCTCTACAGAAGCAGAGCGGCTCCATAGGCTTTCCAAGGCTATCAATGTCTACCGACGCACACCTTTGTCTCCTCCTCCTCTCCTGGAGCAGCCGGTGGGTTCCAACCACAAACCATCTGGCTCGTAACCCACCGCACCCCCAGCATGCCTTCAAGGGCGCAGGAATCACACCGAGGGCCTCACGCACGCACGCACGCACAGTATGTGCTCCAGAGCTCCATCGCCACAGCAAAGCCCTACACACCCCACCAGTTCCTGCTGGGGATGGGCTCTGGTGACCAAAAACTGATGCCTATCAGAATTAATATTTAAAATAAGGTACTCACCCACAAAAATACTAGTAATAAAAAATAAGGTGCTGAATCATATCGTCGTCAATGAGGGTGGCACGTGATAGAGACCCAATGCCCATCTCTAGACAACTGGACATACCTTGCAGAGGGGTAGTGGGGAGATGAGTCACTTAGGGTACAGTATAGCAATAATGAAACCCACAACCTTCCTCTAGTTCTTAAACACTTCCTCCCCACAACTACCAGGACCCCAATTCTCCCTTGCAGACCTGGTTAGACCAGATGATGCACAGCGGTACAGATGGGAATTGGAAACGCAGGGAATCTGGGACAGATGAACCTCTCAGGACCAGGGGTGACAGTGGCGATACCAGGAGGGAAAGGGGGTGTAGAAAGGGGGAATTGATCACAGGGAGCTACATATAACCTCCTCTCTGGGGAACGGGCAGCAAAGGGGTGGGTGAAGGGAGACGCCGGGCAGTGTAATATAAGATACAATAATAATTTATAAATTATCAAGGGTGCATGGGGGAGAGGGGAGGAGGAAGGGAGGGGGAGGGGAAAAAAGGAAAATGAGCTGATTCCAGGAACCCAAGAGGAAGGCGAATTTTGGGAATAATGAGGGCAACAAATGTATAGATGTGCTTTACACAATTGATCTATGTATTGTGATGAATTGTATGAGCCCCAATAAATTGATTAAAAAAAATAAAAATAAGGTGCTGGACTTAGGATCCTGGCGGTGCAGAGGCCTGGAACAGCGAGGATGGCCCTGGTCAGGACACACGGGTTTCGGAGCGGGCACTGAGGAAAGGGGTCAGCAAGTGTGGAGGCTGGTCACGAAGATGGGGCAAGGAACTGGACTAGAGAAGACGTGCATCCAGGATGTTTAAAATGCTTTTAAAGATGGGGGATGCTAACGAGAACAAGGGGGTGGGAATGGACCAAGGGCCCAAGGTCCTTGAACGGGTCCTATGCCAGGCGTGGCCCTGGAGCCCGTCCACTGCGAGTTTGTGCGTTCATGCCCCACCCTCCATCTAAGTCCACTAAGCAAGGTGTTTTTGAAGGTGACTACACCATACGGCCGACCAGAAGAGGGCAGCCTTGACCTTCCAAGAAAAGGAGTCATTTCTTGTAAATGCACCAAAGGGACTGCTTCACCTCACCCTTGCAGTTGACTGCATACACCCGCCACTAGCCCACTGAGTCCCGGCTCAGCCACACGTTGCCCTAGACTGTTGAGAGAGACAACCTACCACTCCTCGGTACTTGACCCCAGGCAAGTAGCTCAACCTTGGTGCCTCACTTCCTTCTATGCGAAAAACGCTGCCTCCCCGTGGTTGTCAGTCAGTGACCTCATGAGGCTGTTTCGGGAATAAGTGAGATCATGTACAGAAAACACTTGGCGAGTTGCCTGGCACCACAGAAGCACTCCGAGAGCGGAAGCTACCTTGAAATGCTCCAATTGCCAAGGTCTTTCTGAGCCTTGTGGGACCTCCTGAAGCCAGGTCCTGAGTCTCGAGGGCCCACCGCCTCAGCCCTGGAGCTCAGGACACCCAGCAGGGCCCGCGGTCCTGCTGTCACACCTATGCTGTCTCACAGTAGCTGCAGTCAGCAGCAAGGAGGAAAATCTAGCTCTGTTACCAGCAAGCTGGGTGCAACTGGCCCCTGCGTTTCTCAGCTGTGAGAGGGAAATCGCTCCCCCTGCACACCTCTCAAGGGGGTCCTGGGGGTGCGGTGTGTTAAGCACATGGCCTGCTAAACACCAAGTCGGTGGTTCAAACCTACCAGCGGCTCCAAGGAAGAAAGATGACAAGATGGGGCTGTTTCTGTAAAGATTTACGGTCCTGAAATCCCTCTGGAGCAGTTCCACCGGGTCCAATAGAGTCCCTGAGTCCAAATCCACTCAGTGGTGCTGGCTTGGGTGCACACCTTACAAACCCTGGTGGCACTGTGACTATGTGTTTGGCTGCTTACTGAAAGGTTGGCAGTTCGAGCCCACCAGACCCTTCGCAGGAAGGCAAAAGATGGAGCAGTCTGCTTCTGTAAAGATGACAGCCTTAGAGACCCCGTGGGGCTGCTCTACTCTGTTCTACGAGTCACTGTGAGCTGGAATCGACTTGACAGCAGTGGTTTCAGTTCTAGGTTTCGATGCACGTCGCAAGGCGTGCCTGGATGGTGGAACCGTTCGGCGTTCAATTACTAACAGGAGAGTTGGTCATGGGAGCCATACAGAGGCCTGGTGATCTGCTTCCAAAAGGACATGGCCTCAGACACCCTGGGGAGTGCCATTCCACTCTGCCACACAGGGGGTTGCCATGAGACGGACTCAATTCTATGGCAGCTGTTTTTGCCTCTTGGTTATGCACCTCGCCACACTTTCTATAAGGCACACACCTAATGAGGTGTGCAAAACCCACTGCCCTCGAGGCAGTTCTTCAATGGCTTCTACAAAGAGGCTGTGCAGGTGACCAGAGGGAGAGATTCACCTAGTACTAAGGCCATTGACAGTGGGTCCCTGGTCAAGCCAGCCTGCTCGTTCTGACCACCTCCTCTGGGTGCACACTTCTCTCTACCCGGAATATCCTCCAGTCCTATGAATTCACCCAAGCTGGCTCTCCTGCTTTCTCCCCCAGGAAGCCTTTCTAGAACTCGCCTCACAACATCTAAGTGAAGGGCCCCCTCTCAGAACAACCAGTACTGACCATTAATACCGGTCAAGACAATGTCCCACACCAATACACACAGCCTTGCGCCCATCTCCGGGCCTATGCCCTGGCTGTTCCCTCTGCCTAGAGCACTCTTCCCTAATCAACCACACAGTCTGATCTGTTTCCTTCAGCTTTCTCAGAAGCCTTCCCTGGGGAAATTATGTAAAATGGCAATCCTCCCTCCCAGTATTCCCCCTCCACTGTATGTGCCATCGAAAATACCTATCTGAAACATAACTCAACTATCTATCTTCATCATTTAGCTTGTCTACTTTCTAGAAGGCAAGTTTTATGAGAAAGGGCCTCGCTGCTAAATCCTCACTTAGAATAGTCCTTGGCCCCATAGCAGGTGCTCAACAAATACTTGCTGAATGAATCAATGAGATATGTCCAGAGCTGTACTCTGAGGAAAAGGTGTAGTTTGAAAGGCTTGTTGTTGTTGTTGTTAAGATGGATTGACATTAGTGACTGAAACAATGGGCTCAAACATAACAACAATTGTGACTATGGTGCTGGGTCAGGCAGTGTTTTGTTCCATTGTGCACAGGGTCACTACGAGTCAGAGCTGACTGGTCAGCCCCTAATAACAAGACTAGAACGAAAATATTAGTTGAATGCCAGCCTTATCAAGCACAGTCACTAACCTATTGTAGGAGCTCAATGAATATTTAAGAAGTGTTAAATGATAGTATATTTGCAAAATAAATCCCAAGAGAAAAGGGAATTAAGGCACCGACTGAAATGCAATTAGAAAACAGAATACACACACAGACATGCACACATACACATGCATGCACATAAGAAAGACCTGATATATCCATTAAGAAAATGCAGTCACACATTATCAAGATTATAGAAGAAAATGAATAAATAAATAAAACCAATGCTATGAAGGCTTTTTGTTTTTTAATTGGAAGATGACCACATAGGCCATGAAGTTCAAAAATCTCCATTACAAAAAAAAAATCTCCATTACAAAGGTGACCCACACACCCAGGGACACTTCAGGTTCCAAGTTGGAACTTTAAGGATGACAAATGCCAGCTCAGAGCTCCTCATTTCTCCCCTCCATCCTCCCAGAACACAGAGGCCAACTGCAGTTCACTCCTGCATCCCCAGGGCTCACCCCCACCAGCCCAGTCTTATGTGTGCTCAGTAGGCAGCCAGGTCCAGCACACTGGTGGGATGCAGGGGCTCACCTTGTTGGCGCAGCTGAAGCCTAGCCCCAGCTCGGCCAGGACCTTCAGCACACCCAGGCTGCTGTTGCACTTGACAGCGTAAAAGGGCCGGACTCGCGGCAGGCACTTGAGAAAGCAGAACTGCTTCCTCACTATAGCTCCCAGGTCGGCCACGAAGAAAGCAGCAACCTCACCCTGTGGGACCAAAGGGGCGGGTGTGAGATGGTACCCAGTTCCCTCCCTGTCCACGGTTTCCACAGCCCTCAAGGGCCCAACCCAAACTCAGCTCTGGCCACAAGGCTCCCCAAGCCGACAGCATGGAAGCCAAACTCAGCCTGGCATGGGGGCCTCCCCTCCCACCCCTGGTCCAGCCCCAGTGCAGCTCTAGCTCTATCTGTAGGCTGGACCAATGTCCCATCTAAAAGCCTGTTTCTGCTAGGCCCTCCCCTTCAGATACGCTTCCCCACTGCTGCCAGGCCAAATCCTAGTCCACCTTCAGGTTTCAACACAACAGGCCGTTTTCCCCAGTGATCAGGCAGCTAGCTGTGTCCTGGAGGCAGCCAGTGCGTTTTGCAATGTCTTAGTGCTATGCATACAGCTCTTTTCTCCATAAAAGGGCAAATCCCCTGGAGGCACAGTGAGTGCTCCCCGGGAACCTGAAGTAGTCCCTTTGCCACTTCAGGCTTTCAGGTGGGACATTGGTCCAGCCTCAGACGAATGTTCCTCACTGATTCCAGAAGGACTGAGCCTGTGTGAGGCTGAGGGTGAGGCGTGACACACCTTTCCTGGGACCCCCCAAAGCAAAACCAAACTCACTGCCACTGAGTCAATTCTGACTCATAGCAACCCAGAGTAGAACTGCCCCTGTGAGTTTCCGAGACTGGAACTCTACAGGAGTAGAAAGCCAAGTTGTTCTCCTCAGGAGCAGCTGGTGGTTTCAAACTGCTGACCTTGCAGTTAGCAGCCCGACATGTAACCACTATGCCTCCAGAACTCCTTAGGACTCTCTCTCTTTTATGCAACACTGTTTATACTGAGGCCCATTTGGTGCCAGGTACTATGCTCAGGGACTGAGACGACTAGGCAGGGCCCTGGCAGGGAGAGGATGTGTCTGGAAGGGAAAAACTCCTTAAGCAATTACAAATGCATTCCACAAAGTGCAGTAAGGGGTGCCATGGAGAAAGGAGGTAATAACTCCCCTTGGGGCCATCAGAAAAAGATGGCACTGATGAGAAAGGACGAGAAACAGAAAGGGAGAGGGTCTGGGAGAGGGGCAGTCCAGGCAGAGGGAACAGCCTGGGCAGAGGCATGGCATCATTAGGAAGTCTGAGTTGAGGAGCCCAGATTGATGGCGCAGGATATGTACACTGCGGAAAGAGCCAGAAGCAGGGCAGTGGAGGTAGGCAGGCACGCATCCTGGGATCACACGAAGGAGTTCTGATTTGCTCCTGTGGGCAGTGGGGAGCTGCTACAGAATTCTGGTTTGAGCAGGACTGTGACAGAGTTGGAGGAGGTGGGGTGCAACAGGGAGGTGGTTGGAGAGATGGTAGGGGGGCCGTTAAGAGGGCTGAGCTCTGCCTTGAGGTTCCAGAAGTGCGGGAGGGTGAGTGGTTTAAGGAGGCAAAATTCCCAGGGCTTGGTGATGCCCAAATGTGGGCGCTGAGGGACAGAGCGGGCAGGTGAGGAGGACTCCGAGGTTTCTGGTCTAGAGGGCTGGGAACTCAAGAGAGGAGGGGGAGGTTTGGGGACAGGGATCAGGTACCAGGGATAAAACGAAATGACTCAATGACAGTGGGCTTTTTGAAAGTTTTGCTTGCAAACAGAAAGGGCTGGATACCGAACAAGTCAAAGGAAAAGGAGGGTCCTGAGGGCCCTTTCCGCGGAGGCACAGAGGGCAGACGAACCAGAACCGCCCTCAGCCCAGCCCCTCACCGTAGCGGCCTGCGAGGCCCCCAGAGTGAGCTCCTCCAGCAGGTCTCGGGTGCTGAAGCCCTCCTCCACCATCACAAAGTCCGATTCGCTCAAGTAGCCAGCCATGCCGGGGAGGAGCTGGTGCCCACAGGCAGGAGGGAAGCACCTCTGTGGGGCCGCTGCCGCTGCCGCCTTAGAAAGTATGCAACACACTGCGGGAGGGGGGGCGGGGGAGAGGGAAAGACAGGGCCAGTCAGGGGCTGCCCTCTGCTGCCCCCTCCCTCACCTCCTCAGGTCAGGGCACCAGTCCTGCCGAATCCCGTTCCCAGCACAAGCCCGACAACTTAAGCTTCCCTGGGAAGGCTGGGAACGGGCAGGGATCGTGGACTCTAGACTGGGACAGGGCATCATTGATGCCTTGATGTCGTCGCCTCTCCCGGCCTCAGTGGTTTCCATCTGTCAAACGGGAGGGTTGTTTGGGGGGGGAGGGGGAAAAATGAGGAGCTGATATTAAGGGCTTCCCCAGTTCTGAAACCCAGGGAAGGACAGAGCGTGCGCGAGAGAGCAGGGCAGCTGAGCTTAGTGGGGAAGGTTCCAGGGCCCTCGGCCCTGCTCACGTGCCCCCAGCAGCCATGCAAAGCCGGGGTTGGGTCCCACTCCACCCTGCAGCCAGGCGCTGGGTGGGCTCGTCTCCACCGGGAGCCTCAGGGTTCCAGGTGGTCAGCGGGGCTTCGCTAGTCCCGCAGTGCTAGGATTCGGAGCACATAAGGGGGCGCCACGAGGGGGTGAGGGGTCACGGCGAGATCGCAAGGTGGACGCTCTGTCCCAGTGGTCCTTCCTCAGTGCAGGGTCCGGATTCCGCCGCGCCCCCTCCCCCCGCGTCCCCATCCCCTTACCAAGCCCCGTCCTCCTTCACGGGGGTCAGAGCCAGGTGCGCTGCTAGGGGGGGTCGCCGGTGACCTCGAAACTTGTGCAACACCCCGAGGAGGAGTGGCAGTTGCGGAGCCGAGGCCCCTGCTGAGGAGGCAAGAGGGCCAGGCCCGGGGAACAGGTCAGCCCTGGAGCTGAGGGCGCCCGCGAGCGGAGGCTCCTCAAGCCACCCCAAGGGACCCCCACCCCCACCGCCACCCCCTCTTCGCACTCGCCTTAAAACGCATTTACACGGCTTCGGCCCATAGGTCTCCCCAGCGAGTGAATCGGGTCCTCGGCGCCTCCGCTCGCTCGCTCCCCGCGGCTCGGGCCCCGCGGCCTGCGCCCCGCCCGCCCAGCAGCCACCGACCCCACGCCCTGCCTGGCACGCCCGCACCCTCTTATATAAGCCCCGCCCAGGCCCCGCCCCCAAAGCGCAGGCCCCGCCTCCACGCGACCGGCCCTCCGTCGCCCTGGCAACAGCGTGCCGCTGTCTCATTGGTCGATTCCGACATAAAGCATTCAGCGCTGCCTTCCTGTTCCTCAAAGCTGCGCCTCAGGCACGTCTTCACCGAGGCTGACCCACGCCTGCAAAGCCGAACTGCCGGCTGCCGCCTTGGGACCTCGAGCGTCCCCTGGGTGGGACCCTTAGTTGCTGCATTTTGGATATAAAATGATCAGGAAGCCAGAGGTTTCCTGTGAGCTCGGAGATTTTTCAGCGTCTACCCCAACTCAGTAGTGTTTCTGCTCTTCTTTGCCCAGGGAGTACTGCCTGCCCCTTCCCATCCCTCAAAGCCCACGTCCAATGCCATCTCTATAGTGCTGTTATAAGAATATCCTTTCGAAAAAAGCACTGGCTCCTAGCACCTTCTCTCCCTCCTCCAGCTCAATTCTCAGCTAAAATGTCTTCGGAGAGCCGTGTGACTTTCCCAGCTCTGGCTCCGTCTTTGACCTACCTCCTGAATCTGGCAAACTCCTACTCGTTTCTACGGATAAATGGATGGTCTCCACGTTCTCTCTAACTTCCTCAACTCAAAGAAATTCTTCTCAACTGTACCTGACAAGCTCTCTTTCATCCATCAATGTCCAGTGTCAAAGTCACCTCCAAATGCCACCTGCTCTGTTGAGCCTTCTGGCTTTGCTAGCTAGCTCCAGGGAGCATGGGAACTCACAGAATCTATTTTTTTACAGACTCTTCACTTTTTTGGCTCCTGCTGCCTGGAGCTTGAGCTTCCTCTTGTTGCTCTTCACTTCTTGTTTGATGGTACTTCCTGACAAGCTTGTGAGCTCCAGAGGGCAAAGATGAGTACCCACCTCCTGGCAGAGAGAGTGTTCAAGAAGATTCAGTAGGTGAGTTACTCAAAAGCCACGTTTGAAGTTCATCTGGGACAGGAAGAGAATAGCCACAACTGTCTAGAAAAAGAAGAAAGATGACTTACTCCACCAGGTGTCAAAATATGTCATAAGGGTTTAGTGTTTAAAACACTATAGTGTTGGTGCAGGAAGAGACAGCAGAACAGTCTAGAAGAGTTGCATGCATATTGGAGTTCTTGGTGTACCATGAAGGCAGCATTCCAAATCAGTGGCTTCTGACGGTATTTTGAGCTAGCATATGTGTCATATTCCCTGTCAGGCTGTAGGCCTCTTGAAAACAAAGGCATCTCCTGTCTTGACTCAGTGTCTGTCTAGGGCAGCTTGCACAGATGAATCTGTAAATGCTTAGTACATGGATGATGTGGGGCAGTGGGTCTGTTGTTTTCTGCCATATGACTACTGGGTGACTGGCTGAGTCCCTCTGTCTGAACCCGGGTCATTTCTGCCTGGCTCAAATGAGTTCAGACTGAATTGTTTCTCTGGACCCTTTTCCCTGCAAACACCTTGCTTCCTATGCATAGGAACTGCCTTATAATTTTCTGTCGAATTCATTGTTGGGGTGATTTGCTTTGAAAGATTGGAAGTCATTTGCACCATAGTATAAATTAGAGACCTGGGTCTTCCCCATAGCAAGCATGTACTACCTGGGAAGGGATAGACCTGGATGGCCATTACAGCAGCCTTGAATGAAGCCCATATTAAAGAGGGTGAGAGTGAGAGATGGATAAAGTCATTTAGACCCTGATTCTGTTGCTGTTAGCAAACAAACAAATGTACCACTATCGACTGAGTTGCTTCTGACTCATAGTGACCCTATAGGACACGGCCCCTGTGGATTTCCAAGACTGTACCTCATTACAGGGCTAGATACTAACTCTTTATAGGGCTCTCTCTCACAGAACAGCGGATGGTTTTGAACCCCTGCCCTTCTAGTTAGCAGCCCAACATGTAACTTGTATGCCACCAGAGCTCCTCTGTTGCTGTTAGATGCCTTTAAGTCAGTTCCAGCGCATAGAGTCCGTGTGTTCAACAGAACGAAAGCTCTGATTCTAATGTTTTTCTATCATATTTTGAGCCAACTGCAGTTGCATGGTCTGCCTCACTAGCTCTTTTCATCATCTAAGGACTTTTTGGTACAGTCACTTTACCAAAAAGAACTAGTTAACATTCAACCATTTCAAAAGGTAGCATCTGCACAGGAACCAATGGTCTTGAAAGAAGAAGTCCAAGCTGCACTGGCAGCACTAGCTGAAAACAAGCCTCCAGGAACTGATGGAACACCAATGGAAATGCTTCAACAAGCTGATGAAGCACTTGAAGCCCTCACTCATCCATCCCAGGAGACTTGGAATACAGCTACGAGGCCAGCCATTCCAAAGAAAGGTGACCCAGTAGAATGCTCAAATTACAGAGCAATATCACTTATATCATATGTGATAGAAATACATACGTTTTTGCTGAAGATCATTCAATAATAGCTGCAGCGATGATACATTGAAAGGAAGCTGCCGGAGGTTCCATCTGGATTCAGAAGAGAACATGGAATAAGGGCCATCATTGCTAATGTAAGATGGATCTTATGTGAAAGCAGAGAATACCAGAAAGATGTTTACTTGTGTTTTGTTGGCTATTGTTGCGTCCCGGCCTGCGGGACGCACGAGCAAGGCCCTGCGGGGAAAGACGAACCTGGATGGAGAAAAGAAGACACGGGGGCGTGGAGCAAGACAAAACTCTGATCAAGCTCATTTATTTGGGCAAAGCTGGGGTATATAAAAGGGGGAACTGGGAGGTGCATATTTTAATAAGGTGTGCGACACAGCATCCAATCCAACAGGTACATTAATGAAGCGTAAGAACGTTAACCAATCAGCTGTAGGTAAAAGGGCGCGCGCGCTAGTTCTCAAAGACGTCCTGCATGCAGATTAAGGTCCATCAGGTGTAAAGCAAAGTCCATCTTAGTCCAATGAGCGCCTGGCATTATTAACCAATGGGTGAAAAGGTCAACTTTACAACTGCCCATGCTACAGAGCACGTAGCTAGGAACGCGGAGGCAGGGTTGGGCAGGGATTTCAGGCAGGGCCAGTTCCCACAGATTTAGCAAATGAAAGACACACTTAACAACCAGGAAGCAGCCAAGTTCGGCTCGTGGCTGAGGCTAAGGCCTTCATGGCCACCGGCTCCCAACAGGCTATGTCAAGGTGTGGATCACAACAAAGTATGGATATCCTTGAGAAGAATGGGAATTCCAGAACTCTCTTGTGCTCATGTGGAACCTATATATGGACCAAGAGGCAGTTGTTCAAGCAGGAGTGGAAACTGCATAGTTGAAAATCAGGAAAGGGGTGCATCACGGTTGCATCCTGTCACCATACTTATCTAATCTGAGCAGATTAGATGCTGAGCAGATCAGCAGAGAAGATGGTTTATATGAAGAAAAATGGGCATCAGAATTGGGCGAAGGCTTATTGACAACCTGCTATGTACAGATGATACAACCTTGCCTGTTAAACTCCTCTTCAGAAGTAGTCCTTTGGTGAGCACTCACATGAGACAATTATCTTCACTTTCTTGGCCCATTCCGCGACGTCTATCCACCTACCTCTTTCCCAAACCTTCTTGTCACCGATTTTCCAATCATTTTCTTTCCATTTCCCTGACCTTCCAGCCAAACCATTAGCCACAGCCCATGAATCAATATATAGTCGCACACTTGGCCATTTCTCCTTCCAGGCAAAATGAATGACCAGGTGCACTGCTTGAAGTTCTGCCCCTTGGGAGGATTTCACTTCACCACTGTCCTTTAGAGATCCTAGAAAGGGGCTATATATAGTGCTGCTGCTGTCCACTTACGAGTGGTATCTGCATGCCATGCAGAGCCATCAGTAACCAGGCATGCTCCTCAGCCAAGTTATCATAAGTCAACTATCCCCAGGAGGTCATAGGTGCAGACTGGGAGAAAGAGGTACCATGACAAGAGTGGAGACTGTGGGCATTTGCACCACTTCTTCATGCAGCTTACTTTAATCTTCAGGTCCTGCTCTAAGGAGCACTCTGGCCATACTTCTTCCAAGATGGAGTGGTTTGTTCTTTTAGCAATCCATACTTTCAATATTCTTTTCCAACACTACAATTCAAATGCATCGATTCTTCTTTGGTCCTCCTTGTTCAGTGTCCAGTTTTCACAGGCACACGAAGCAATTGAAGATACCATGACTTAGATCAGGCAGACTGCAGTCCTCAAAGCAACAACCTTGCTTTCAATATTCTACAGAGATCTTGTGCAGCACATTTACCCAATATAACGAGTCTTTTGCTCTCTTGACTGCTGCTTACATGATCGCTGACTGTAGAGTCAAGCAAGACAAAATTCTTGACAACTTTAACCTTTTCTCCATTTATCATTCTGTTACCTCTTGGTCTAGTGCTGAGGATTTTGGTCTTTTTTACATGAAGTTGCAATCCATTCTGAAAGCTGGAAGCCTTGATCTTCATCAGCAAACGCTTCAAGCCTTGCTCACTTTCAGCAAGCAAGAATGGCTAGACTTCCTTGTCCATGCTTTGGAACTGCTGTCAAGACAGATCAGTCTCTGGAGAAGGACTCACACTTGGTAAAGCAGAGGGCCAGTGAGAAGGAGGAAGGCCCGCAGGGAGATGGACTGACACCATGGCTGCAACAATGGGCTCAAGCACAGGGACAATGGTGAGATGGTGCAGGACCGGGCAGTGTTTCATTCTGCCGTGCACAGGGTCTCTATAGGCCAGAACCATTTTGATGGCAACAACATCCTGCTGAGCAAATCATCAGAGAATCTGGCTTCTATGAAGAATGTAGCAACAAGATTGGAGGAAGGCTTGTTAACAACCTCTATATACAGATGCCACAACCTTGCTTGCTGCAAGTGAGGAGGATTTGAAGCACTTGCTGATGAAAACCAAGGATTACAGCCTTCGCTATGGATTGCAGCCTTTGGCATTGCAGCCTTCAATATAAAGGATAGAAAAAT